ACCCCTCAGACAGTATTCTAATCGACAATGCTCGCGCTTTCGAAATCTGGCATTGCTGTATCTCCATCAGTATATTAATCTTCAAAAAAAAATTGTATTACATATGATGATTTTAATACCAATCGTCTTAATCTGTAAGGTTTTTCAAAAAAACAAAATGGAAATCTCGGGAATACACTTAACAAGATATTTATGTTTGCGAAGTAGCTCTACGTTAAATAAGCATCAGCTTAATATTTTATTGTAATTCTTTCAATAAAACCATGACAAACTAACACAAAAAATTACTACTTACGATTATAATGCACCAACAATTCGAAGATCAAGTGAAGGACTATTTTTCAACTTTCTTTTTATATGATTGAATAGAACCTATCAAGTTGTATATGAAAATATCTATTCCATTGGCTCCCTTTCCCTGTCTAGATTAGTATTTGAATGAACTGCAATTAATTTTATTAACATTATCGTTTATATCAACTTTTGTGAATGATTGATTCGGAATTTCTAAGAAAAATTTTCTGTCGAGAAATAGATTTCATCAAAGGAAAATAAAATAAATAGATATTTGCATGATCCACAGGCGGACTGAGAAGGGATGAAAAGTAAGCCAGTAGACCTTCTTATAATTGCATCAGGCCTGCAGAAATACAACATAAAGTGAATTGAATTCGATTATAGTAAACATTGCTTATGTGAAAGAAAACATTCACAAAATTTTCCATATTGAAATGCCTATGCTGAGAAAATTCAATTTTCCAAAACTAATGCCTGTCCGAAAATTAAATGGCCGTGGGTATTTTTGGAATAACTCCAGAAGGAAAAGAGCTAGAGAGATACGGTTTTCACCATTATGTAGGCATATGAGTACTTTATATATTCGCTAAGACATGCTGAGAATCCTTGCAAATTCAGAGTTTCATTAGTGCCAATCTTTCAAAGAACACCTCGTAGTTTTCTAAAGTTCCACAGAGACCTATATATCTAAACTATGCAAAAGATAGCTCAAATGCTCCTCTACAAAATGACACAAGGCTTATCTCTCTAGTTTTTGTCGTTCTCAAATAACATTCATTTTCCTAGAACCTATGCTCGTCCTTTTTCTCAATAGGATAATATGCAAGTATTCATAATAAAAGTACATTGTTGATGGTAGTTTTCTTCTGCAGAAGTGGCTCTTCTAGATAGCGAGCAGCTTTATTAATTGAGAATGAAGTATTCGACTATGTAGAACGATCATAAATTCAAATTATTTCATTGGAGTGTAAAAGTATGTAAAAAAAATGTAAAAAAGTAAAAAACGCATAATTTTATCGATGACATATAAGAAAACGTGTGTTATTGAGGAAGACGAGCGTTTAATCCTTGTGTAATATATTTATTTAGTTCGCATTATCCTAGTCGCATAACGTTAGTCTTCTAAGCGTCGTTGATTTGTTTTCTGAGTAAGAGTTTTGGCTCTTTAAAACTTTTCTAAAACATCAGCATAAAAAAACAACTGTTACAGTGAATATATTGAGTATAACTCTGGTATTATAAAAATACGATTCTTGTATAGGTAAACGATCCTGATACTATGCAAGTGACACGGTGAAGACAATAGAAGTGAGATAAATATATTCCATAACGATTGAATGCTCATCCTCTTCAATAACAGACGTTTTCTTATATGTCATCGATAAAATTATGCGTTGTTTGCTTTTTTTTACATTTTTTCACATACTTTTACACTCCAATGGAATAATTTGAATTTATGATTGTTCTACATAGTCGAATACTTCATTCTCAATTAATAAAGCTGCTTGCTATCTAGAAGAGCCACTTTTACAGAAGAAACTATCATCAACAATGTACTTTTATTATGAATACTTGCATATTATCCTTTTGAGAAAAAAGACTAGCATAGGTTCTAGGAAAATGAGTGTTATTTGAGAAAGATAAAAACTAGAGAGGTAGGCCTTGTGTCATTTTGTAGAGGAGCATTTGAGCTATCTTTTGCATAGTTTATATATATAGGTCTCTGTGGAACTTTAAAAACTTCGAGATGTTCTTTTGAAAGATTGGCACTGATGAAACTTTGAATTTGCAAGGATTCTCAGCATGTCTTAGCGAATATATAAAGTACTCATATACCTATATAATGGTGAAAACTGCATCTCTCTAGCTCTTTTCCTTCTGGAGTTATTTCAAAGATACCCACGGCCATTTAATTTTTGAACAGGCATTAATGACAGTATTTGTGAAATATACTTTTATTCGGCCATTTTTTCGTATGAAAAACATAATTTTCTAAATCAATGCATATGATATTAGGGATGGATCAGCATTAAAAACTTGAGTAACACAATATGCGTTGTATCCGAAAATAGTTTTCGTCGAACTTTGACGTGCGATAAATTTCTAGTAAAGTCCTTAATTGAGAAGGTTGTGCGTAAACGGAAAATACTTTTAGATACACTGTGCATTGTGCTACGAGCTTTTAACAGATACTTAGCCGCTAAACGATTTTTTTCTTCTCTGTTTACATTGGATTAGTAATCCTCTCGACGTTTTATTCATTGTTCTCTTCCCATATTGTCAGAAGAAGTAAACTCATCAGCATGAATAAAAGAAAGAGAATGATTCTAATTCATGCAATATAACCGTAACTATTCACGTGCATGTGAAGAACGATAAAGATACACAACAATACTCACAAACAATGCAAACTCTAGTTTTTAATCTTGCCGTCAGAGAAAGGGATGTCTCAATACTTTTTTTTCGAAAAAATGCGTTAAATAATCTAGAATAGATGCTTCCATATGCTACATGACGAGCACCATCGATCACTTAAAAAAAAACTCGAAAAATAAACCAAATTCTACCTTTAAATTACCGGAACATTATACATAGTCAAAAAAATCACTAACTTGTAGAAATCCAAACGATGCAAACTATTACATGCATCCTCACCGTTTAAGGTGAAGAAAAAATATAACATGAAGAGAAAGGTGTCCGTCTTGCCGTAAATTCGAATAATTTTTTTTTCTTATTCTGTTAATAATTGTCAACATATTATTGACATAAGAAGGCGTCGATTAGTCAATTGCGTGGACATGATTTATCAACATAAAGAAGGTATAAGAAAGAAGAAAAAAGTGAATTAATGAGTCATTATCTATTTTGAATCAGATTATTCATTGCATTTGCTTCGTACACTGTTTGATTTTCTACTGTTTATCATACAAACAGCATTACTCATAGCAAATAATATTTCATTTTCAAATTGCACAACATTTGCATAACAAGTCATAAATGAAAA